TCCTTGCTACTGTTGTCACTGACCCTTCTTTTGAGTCTTCTACTGCGTCTGCCCTTGTCACTGAGCTCGTCGGCTTTGCTGCGCGCTGTCGTCTAGACTACGCTGCTAGTCTTGTCGCTGAGTCTGAGTCTGCCTATCCTCCGTTCGTCGGGGGTGAGTGTGCCCTTGGCACGGACGTCCTTGAGGACAGGCAGGAGGAGTTCCAGTGTCTGGCCGCCGCTTCACCTCATCTCGCGTCTGTACTGCTCGCCCCTGAGGGAGACCCGGATGCACAAGACATCCCGACTCCACGCTCTTACGCGGAGGCGATAGAGGGTCCCTACTCCTCTCAGTGGCAGGCAGCTATGGATGCAGAGATGGCTTCCTGGAAGTCCACAGGCACCTACGTTGACGCTGTTCCCCCTCTTGGGGCGAACATAGTCAGCGGCATGTGGATTTTCAGGGTGAAGCGGCCGCAGGGTTCTCCGCCTGTCTTCAAGGCGCGTTACGTCGCTCGTGGCTTCAGTCGGCGGCAGGGAGTTGACTACTTTCAGACCTTCTCCCCCACCCCAAAGATGACCACTCTTCGGGTACTGCTGCACGTTGCTGCTCACCGTGACTACGAGCTGCACTCTCTCGACTTCAACACTGCTTTCTTGCAGGGCAGCCTGCACGAGGAGATATGGCTGCGTCGCCCACCTGGCTTCACTGGGTCTTGCCCTCCTGGTACCCAGTGGAGTCTCTGGCATCCAGTCTACAGTCTCCGCCAGGCGCCACGTGAGTGGCACGACACACTGAGGACTACACTGGCGGCACTTGGGTTTGCTCCTTCTACTGCCGACCCGTCGCTGTTTCTGCGCACCGACACCTCTCTGCCGCCGTTCTACATCCTCGTGTACATCGACGACTTGGTCTTTGCCACAGCTGACACTGCTGGACTCGCCTACGTGAAGTCCGAGCTGCAGAAGAGACACACGTGCACTGACCTGGGTGAGCTGCGCAGCTACCTTGGCTTGCAGATCACCCGGGACAGAGCACGCCGCACCATTACCCTGACTCAGTCACACATGGTGCAGCAGGTCCTTCAGCGCTTCGGCTTCACGTACTCCTCGCCTCAGGCCACTCCTCTGCCTACTCGCCACTCGCTCTCAGCTCTGCCTTCGGATGAGTCCGTAGAGTCGAGTGGTCCGTATGCAGAGCTTGTTGGCTGCCTCATGTACCTGATGACCTGCACACGACCTGACCTTGCATACCCTCTTAGCATTGTCGCACGCTATGTTGCTCCTGGGAGACACCGACCAGAGCACATGGCTGGAGCGAAGAGGGTGTTGCGCTACTTGTGCAGTACGTCGGGCATGGGGCTAGTGCTTGGAGGGCGCAGTCCAGTGGTCCTCACAGGGCACGCGGACGCTTCTTGGGCTGACGACCAGGCTACGCAGCGGTCGTCACAGGGTTACACCTTCAGCCTTGGTTCCGGCTCTGTTTCGTGGCGGGCTACCCGCTCGTCTTCTGTTCTCGGCTCCAATTGTGAGGCTGAGATCTACGCCGGGGCTATGGCTGCTCAGGAGCTTCGCTGGCTCACCTACCTGCTGACCGACCTTGGAGAGCCGCCTCGTTCTCCTCCAGTCCTGTACGTAGACAACAAGGCCATGCTGGCCTTGTGTCGAGAGCAGCGACTGGAGCACAGGACAAAGCACATTGCTCTCCGCTACTTTCTTGCTCGTGAGCTACAGCAGCGTGGACAGTTGCGACTTGCGTACGTGGCCTCCGAGGCCAACACTGCTGATGTCTTCACCAAGGCACTTGCGCCTTGTGATCATCAGCGTTGCTGCACGCAGCTGGGTCTTGTGCCTGTCTTGCCTCACTTGCTCACTTCTTGACCTTGCTTGTACCTTGACCTATATATACTCTTGTTCTTGCTTGCTTGACTCTTGTATATCTCTATATATGATCTTGCATGTGAACTGGCCTTGTGGCCCTTGAACTTGTGCTCGGAATGTGTGGTGACTTTGTGATCCACCCTGACCTTTGCTTTGCTTTGCTTGACTGGTCTTGTGACCCCTTCTTCTCCCCCACTTTGCCTATGGGGGTGTGTCAGAATATTATAGCTTACTTCTTTGTGTAGGCTATAGTGGGGTATCCCATAGGGGGTACAACCCAATTAGGGTTTCCTATTTGTATCACTTCCATTCCTTAGTCATCCATTCTCGTTCTTTCTTTTCACAGTAGGCTGTGGGGCGGGGTGGGGTGGGCCGAGCAAGAGTTTCGAAGCAGGCATGGTTCGCGGATCCAGCGTGTGGTCCCGGTATAACCAAGGAATCAGCGTACACAAGAAAAAGTCGGAAGATTCAGACAAGGTACATAAAAATAAGCTGAAAATTCAGCCAAGGTACATAAAAAAAAGTTTGGAATCAGCCTAGGGTTAAAAAAAAAAATCATGATTTAACGCCAAATCAGTGTAAAAAAGCTGAAATCTAGGGCCCTGGTTTCAACGCGCGTATTTTTACTCGCGCGGAATTCGTCAAAACGCGAGCTAGAGCTTAGGAACCATAGACGCTTAGGATTATAGAAACCTAGCAAGATGTGGACTGTCGAGAGAAATGTGTTGGCCGAAAAGGGGTTTCACTAAAGGCCCAAGCTATACAAGAGACAAAGAAGGAGAGGTGCACCACAAGCAGGAAACCATATAACTACACTACAGCTAGAAGTACATGCAGTTATACAGAAATATATATAAGGTATATTATGACAAAATTGGCATTGTGGGGTCTCCAGGTGCATTGACATTCCGAACCGTGTGCGACTTTTTACAAGTGACGGGTGAATTTGCAACTCGTCCGTGTCGTCATCGCGTTTAGTTAGGTTCTTAGGCCTGCATTTGTCCGATTGTCTAGATTTCAGACGCATTTTTTATGGTTCATCTGAAGGCGTGGACATGTTGTTCAATTTTATATGAATATTTAGACAAGGTTTTTCTTGTCATCTGAATTTTCAGACAACCTTATACAATTAAACTGAAAATGCAGACAGCTCGTTTTTTTGCATATAAAACCAGCAACTATTCCCACCAGGCCGGTTGCCCACAAGATTCTTTGCCCACCATTCCCGATGAATTTCGCCACGCGACGCAATATCAATCTACACAATTTCGCCACTGCAAGTCTGTACGTTGACTAGGGCCTATGTTTTGTCTGAAATGCTAGACAACGCTTCAGGTTTCATCTCACGATCAGACAAGGGGCCAAGTGTCAAGAAACTGAACAGGAATGAAATGAACTAAGGTCAAAGTGGATACAAGTACTAACCCTAATTGGGTTGTACCCCTTATGGGCTACCCCACTACATCCTACACAACCTAAACATTATAATAGTTTAACACCAAGAACCTGTCTTAAAGTCGGACAAGTTATCCCTGCTTGAGAGTTGTGAATAGCAGAGGCAGATCCCCATAGGCAAAGTGGGGGATAACAAGGGGTCACAAGACCAGTCAAGAAAAGCAAAGCAAGCTCAGGGTGGATCATGAGGACACCACACACTCTGAGCACAAGCAAATGACCACAAGGCCAGTCGAGATGCAGAGTTATATAATCAAGAACAAACAATACAGTGATTAAAACCTTGCAATGGTAAGCATGCAGGTATATATACATAGATCGCAGTACAAGCAAAGTCACGAATCGAGGAAGTGAGGCAAAGTAGGCAGAAGGCCTAAAATAGTAGATAAACGCTGATGATCACCAGGCTGAAGTGCCTTGGTGAATATATCAGCAGCGTTGGCCCGAGTGGCCATGTAAGCAAGACGAAGCTGACCACACTGCTGCAACTCGCAAGCAAGGAAGCAATGTAGAGCGATGTGCTTCGTCCTTTGCTCCAGTCTGTGCTCCTTACACAAGGCAATCACAGCCTTGTTGTCTCGTACAGAACTGGAGGAGAACTAGGCCGCTCTCCCAAGTGGGTCAGCAGGTAGGTGAGCCAGCGTAACTCCTCTGCAGCCATGGCCCTTGCGTATATCTCAGCCTCACAACTGGAACTAAGATCAGAAGACGAGCGATTAGACCGCCAAGAGACAGAACAAGAGCCAAGGCTGAAGGTGTAACCCTGTGTCGACCGCTGCATAGCAAAGTAATCAACCCAAGATGCGTTTGCGTGTCTAGTGAGGACAACTCGACCCCATCCTCCAAGCACGAGCCCCATGCCCGACGTATTGCACAAGTAGCGCAACACCCTCTTAGCGGCCTCCACGTGCTCTGGTCGGTGTCTCTCGGGTGCAACATAGCATGCCAGGATGCTAAGAGGGTAGGCAAGGACAGGTCGAGTGCGGGTCATTAGGTACATGAGGCAGCCCACAAGCTCTGGATATGGGCCACTCGGCTCTACGGACTCGTCCGAAGGTGGAGCTGAGAGCGAGTGACCGGTAGGCAGAGGAGTGGACTTTGGCGAAGAGTACCGGAAGCCGAAGCGCTGAAGGACTAGCTACACCATGTGTGACTGAGTCTGGGTGATGGTGCGCCGTGCTCTGTCCCCGGAGATCTGTAAGGCAAGATATCTGCATAGCTCACCCAGGTTAGTGCACGTGTGTCTCTTCTACAGCTCTGACCTTACAAGGGCCAGTGCCTCAATATCAGCAATGCAAAAACCAAGTCGTCGACGTAGACGAGGATATAGAACGGCGGTAGCGAAGTCTCGGTGCGCAGAAACATCGACGGATCAGCAGTCGAAGAAGCAAACCCAAGAGCCGCAAGTGTCGTCCCCCGTGTGTCGTGCCACTCACGAGGCGCCTGGCGGAGACCGTAGACTGGCCGCCGGAGGCTCCATTGGGTACCTGCAGGAAACAACCCAGTCAAGCTAGGTGGGCGGCGCAGCCATGTCTCCTCGTGCAGGCTCCCCTATAAGAGAGCTGTGCTGAAGTCAAGAGAGTGAAGGTTGAAGTCACACTGAGCAGCGACGTGCAGCAGCACCCGAAGAGTGGTCATCTTTGCGTGCCCAGAAGGGTAGGGGAGAAGGCTTGGAAGTGTTGCTGACTAAAGCATTGTGCGACGTAACGAGCCTTGAAGGAAAGTGGAGGACCCGACGACCGCTTCACCCTGAAAATCCACATGCCATCGACATTGTTCGCCCCAGGATGGGGGAACTGCGTCGATGTAAGTGCCTGTGGACTTCGAGGATACCATCGCTGCATCCATGGCTGTCTGCCACTGAGAGGAGTAGGGATCCGTAATTGCCTCTGCGTAAGAGCGCGGGGTTGGGATGTCTGGTGCATCTGGGTCTCCCTCAGGTGCAAGCAGCATGGCCACAAGATGAGGTACAGTAGCTGCAAGACACTCAAAGTCCTCCTGCCTATCCTCAAGGACGTCCGTGCCGAGAGCACACTCACCCCCGACGCACGGAGGATAGTCAGACTCAGACTCAGCAACAAGACTAGCGGCGTAGTCGAGACGACAGGCGGCAGCAAAGTCAACAAGCTCAGTAACCAGGGCAGACGCAGCAGTGGACTCAAACGAAGGGTCAGTGACAACATTAGCTAGAAGACGTGTGACAGTAGGACTGGCAGCACAAACTAAGTCAGACTCTGGTTCCGGACTGTCAGCAAGAGAGGACGCAGGAGGAGATGGCAGGGGAACTCGCAGTGGAACAGAGGAAGGACGAAGTGCCATAAGGTGAGTGCCAGGGACAAGAGGAGGACGCGGACACGGAACACGACGACCAGTGCGAATAGCGCAAAGAAGTGAGGCAGGACGAGACACAGGCCCATGACGCTTTGTAAGAGAGGCTGTTTGCTCAGTGTAAGGAGAAGGAGCAGGCAGTGGGGAGGCTGGCTGTAACTGTAGCTGCGACTGGTCAGGCGGTGGACATTGTAGAGGTGGAGCAAGGTCACTGGAAGACGGGAGACTAAGAACCTGGCGAAGCAGTGGAACGAAGTATGGTCGCCGCCGCACAGTGCCTCCAGCACTAGTACCGACAGTTCCAGCACCCCCAGCGCCAGCACCTCCAGCTCCAGTGTCTCCAGCTCCAGCGCCTGCAGCTCTAGAATCTCCAGCTCCAGCGCGTGCAGCACCACCAGCTCCAGCAGCTCTAGTACCTCATGTACAAGCACCTCCGGGTCCAGCAGCTCCACCACCTCCAGCGGCTCCAGCAGCTCTAGCACCTCCAGCACCTCCAGCACCAGCAGCACCACCAGCTCCGGCAGCTCTAGTACCTCCAGCACGAGCACCTCCAGGTTCAGCAGCTCCAGCACCTCCGGTACCTCCACCTCCAGCAAGACCACCAGCACCTCCAGCACCAGCAGCACCACCAGCTCCGGCAGCTCCAATACCTCCAGCACGGCACCTCCAGGACTAGCAGCCCCAGCACCTCCGGTACCCCCAGCTCCAGCAAGACTTCCAGCACCTCCAGGACCAGCAGCTCTAGCGCCTCTAGCTCCGGTGCCTCCAGCGGCAGTGTCTCCAGCGGCAGCCCCCCCAGCTTCAGCCGCGCCACTCTGAAGGCGGGTGCGCCGAGCAAACCACTCGCGCAGCTGCAGTGGAGAGAGAGGCTACCATCATCATGAGGCACCCGTAGGACCTCCAACAGACAGAGTACCTCAAGGCTCAGCACCCCTAGACTCAGAACCCCCAGGCTCCGCACGCTCAGGCTCAGCACCCCCAGGCTCCACATTCTCAAACTCAGCAACCCCAGGTTCAGCACCCCCAAGCTCCACACGCTCAAGCTCAGCACCCCCAGGCTCCGCACACTCAGGCTCAGCACCTCCAGACGCAGCACCCCCCCCAGCAGCACCAGAGTCGACAGCTACCTCGACAGGCTCAGCCAAGGGGAGTGGGTCTACCTGAGACACACCTGAGGGAGCAGGACCCTGAGGGGGGAGGAGGTCTGCTGGAGGAGGACCTGGTGCGAGGAAGAGCGGCAGGGGAGGGGGGGGAAGAGGGGCAGTGCGGTAGGGGAAGAGACGGTAAAGGGGAACCGACTCGTCAAACGTGACGTCCTGAGAGTGTAGGACACGGCGCATTGTGGAGTGGTAAAACTGCCAGCTAGGTGCGTCAAGGAAAGAGCCAAGGAAGACACAGGGAATGGCGTGGGCGGAGAGTTTGTCCGCAGAGGTGTCGGGGACAAAGGCACGAGAGCCCCAGACCCGGACCGCCGATGCATCGCCAACCTCCCCCGTCCAACGCAGTGTAGGCGAGGTCTCCGGCAAGGAGACACGGGGCCAGAGGTTGAGCTGATGCACAGCGTACTGGACCGCAAACGGCCACAGAAAATGGGGAGCAGCCGCATGGATCATGGAGGTACGAGCCACCTCCATGACATTATAACAGTTTGACAGTTTTACGAGCAACATCAACAAGTGGCACCTGCGCAGTCAAACAACGGAGTCACTCCCATGAGTCTTGAAGGTTCATCCTTTGCGCGTGGAAATCAGCAGCCCACTTTCGCACCGTACGAGCCTCAATACGGCTCCGTTAGCTTCATGCTGAATCAGCTCCCACCTGGACAAGAAACAAAGACGCTGGACGCACTTCAAATGAAGTCAGAGTTTGCACATGTTCTGAAACTCCAAATGGCAAGGATTTCTATACCAGGTCTTTTGAATTTGGGGTAGCCGCATGGATCATGGAGGTACGAGCGACCTCCATGACTAAGCCATAGCGGCGCTCAGCAACCCCCTTCTGCTGCGAAGAGGCCAAAGCGTGAACGACTGGCGGATGCCCCTCCCCACGACAAAAGTCATGCAAGAGGTTGGAGACAAACTCACCACCTCCTTTAGAGTGCAGACGGAGGACAAGAAGGTCCGCGTGGAACTGCTCGCGGAGCTGGAGATGGATAGCGCGGATCCAAGGGATCGAAACATCAGGAACCTCCCCCTTGCTGCGCAAGGGGAAGACCGTGGTGTTACGCGGGTAGTCGTCAACAACCAGCAGAAAGTATCGCTCGCGGCCGTGTCCACGGACGTAGGCTGCGCCCCACACGTCCATGTGGAGAGTCTGCATGGGAGTAGTCGTTGGGGGAAACGAGGAGGATTGAGGAGCGGCGCACTGCCGCCCCTCGGCACAAGGAAGGCAGGGAGGGGCAGGTGAGGGTGGGAGGGGAGGCAGAGACCTTGGAAGACCAGAGACAAGGAGGCGGGAGTGCAAGCCACGGAGGCGTGGCAGGGAGGGGTGACCAAGGCGCTAGTGCCAAAAGAGAGTCTGGTGCAACAGGAGGCGACACGAGCAGGGGGCTGCTACCGGACCTGACGCGGACACCTGACCAAACGCAGCTATCTGAGGAGGCTCAGTAGTCAGTGTGTACAGATTCGACCCAGGCCACCGGATGAACGTGGCTAGGTGACGGCCCGTCTGTGTACACGTGTAGATCGACACACGCTGACTCCCAGATGTGGTGGTAGTGACCATGGCATCCTGGAGGGCAGCGGTATTCACCAAGTTTGTAGAGAACAAGGGGAGGTGAAGACCTGAGAGTGAGCCGGACGGAACCGTCGGACATGGGAGAACAGTGGAGGAACGGGCAAGAACTGGGTCCCCTGAGGGGTCAGCCAGTCTGACTGCAACAGGTGCAAGGAGAGGTGTGACTACGCAAGGCCTCAGCAGGCGTAGTACCAAGGAGAGCAAACTCACTAGCACTTAGAGGAGCAGCGTCTATACCTGGGTCGGGCGGCACACACAGGTAACAGTCACCCTCAACACTAACAGTCAAAGCATACATGGCAGCAAGGATAGCGTCATAGTCAAGAGCAAATATATCCACACCCTGCCTAAGCAGCTCTAGCCAGCGAGAAAGCTCAATTGTGTTGGGAAACTCTGCGCGCCAGACATCGTCAAGACGAAAGAAGTAGAGGGACTGTGTGTGACCAACCTTCTCGCATGTCTGACCGGCGCGGTCACCTGTGCGAATTACGTACTAGCAGCGAACACTATCCCGAGACGCCCCACTCTGAGCAAACCACTCACGAAGCTCCTGGGGTGTAAGGGTCTCGCGCGGACGCTAATGCTGCTGCCTCTGAACACCGCCAGATCCTCCCCTCTGTCTGGTTCCACCCCGACCGCCACCACTGCCGCCGCCACCACTCCCACTGCCGCCACCACTTCCGCCGCCACCACTCCCACTGCCACCACCACCGCCGCCATCAACGCCTCTACTCCCACCACCACTCCCTCCGCCACCACCGCCACCTCCACCGCCTCCACCGCCTCCACCACCGCCTCCACCGCTGCCACCCCCACCACCCTTGCCTCCCTTCCCCCTGCTGCTGCGGCGCCTCCCACTAGGAGCAGACGCAGCCCCGAACTCCTCAGCACGAAGGTAGTCAACAGCAGCAGCAGAATCGTAGGAGAGGGCAAGGGGGGAGGGGGAACACCCCTCAAAGAAGGGAGTGTGAGGAGTGCAACGAGCAGCACCTACAGCAACTATGCTAGCCTCAGCTGCAAGGAGGTGCTTCTCGAGCAGGTCGACAGTGAGGTCCGTGGGGTCCATGGCGAGAAAGAGGTCCCTGACTGTGCTAAGAGAGTCAGGGAGGCGGGTTGACGATGAAGTAGAGAGCGGTGTAGATGGGGGGAGGGTTCTTGTCTAGAAACTTGGTGGAAAGTGCGACGTGGTAGCGAGTGTCACTAGTGCGAAGGTGGGTGACAAGGTCATCGACTGTGGCATAGCGGTCATCTCGGGAAAAAAGTAGGGCAGTTTTCGGCGGCCAAGAGCAGCAGTGGCAGGGGAGGAGTAACGAGCGACTACAACGTCGCACATGGCTTTAGCGGTCTTGTGCTGGCCAAAGTGAGCGCGTTCCGCTAACGGTAGGTGGTTACGAACGGCTAGGTGAGTAGCAGTGTCATAGGTAAGCCACTGTAGAGAGTCGCACTGTCACCTGTGTCGGGAGGGGTGAAAGAGGCTCCAGACGTGTGGTCAAACAGCGAAACGCCGTCTCTAGAATTGCTCAGTAGGTACAGCTATAAGTCATCGAGCCACGTATCAAACTGGATCGGGCGGCCCTCGGGATCAAATGTGAGGACGCTGAGAAAAGCCATGGCGGGCAGAGCAGGGTTGCGCGCATGCAGCAGGGCAGCACGCAAGCAAGGACGGCGCGATGGGCAGGGCGGCGCGCAAGCGCCAGGGAAGCGCGCAGGGCAGGGCGGGGTGGCGCACGGATAGGGCAGGGAGGCGCAACTGGCATGGCAGGGCCGCGGCCAGCAGGGCGGCACGCGGGCAGGGCAGGGCGGCGACAAGCAAGGCGGCACGCGGGCAGGGCAGGGCGGTGCGGCGGCCAGCAGGGCAGCGCGCGGGCAGGGTAGGGCGGTGCGGCAGCCAGCAGGGCAGCGCGCAGGTAGGGCGGGGCGACGCGGCGACCAGCACGGCGGCGCGGGGGCAGGGCAGGGCGGCGCGACGCTAGCAGGGCAGCGCGACGGGTAGGGGAGGGCGGCGCGACGGGCAGGGCAGGGCGGCGCGGTGCGAGCAGGGCAACACGACGGGCTGGGTAGAGCAGCGCACGGCCAACAGGGCAGCGCGCGGGCAGGAAAGGGAGGCGCGCGGCCAGCAGGGCGGCGCGCGGGCTGAAAAGGGCGGTGCACGGGCTAAAAGGGCGGCGCGTAGGCAAGGCAGGGCGGCACGCAGCAAGCAGGGCAGCGCGACTGTCAGGGCAAGGCAGGGCAGCGTGACTAGTGGGGTAGGGCGCTACGGGCAGCTAACGAATCGGTGGGCTCTGAAACCATGTCAAGAAACTGAACGGGAATGAAATGAACTAAGGTCAAAGTGGGTACAAGTACTAACCCTAATTGGGTTGTACCCTTTATGGGCTACCCCACTACAGCTGCACCCCGGCCGGCCCGCGCCCCCCGGCCGGCCCGCGCCCCCAGGCCCCAGCTTAACGACCAGGCTCAGTGAAGCCCAGTGCTTCAACGGAAGCAACTAACGTGTGGAGGAAAAAGTTCATTCGACGGGCAGAAGAGGTTGAGCTCCTACCGTTCTACCATCTCGATGTGGAGAGGAAGGAGGGAGCTGCCCTTTCAAGACGGATCCACTGGAGAAGTTGGCGCTGTTTAAGAAACAAAGGAAGCAAGCTTTTCTCAACTTGATCATGCGGTTTTTAATGGTATTTTGGTGGATCTTGATCAATTTGCAGGGGAATTGAATTCAGGACAACGAGCATGGGAGTACTTAGGTTTCCACCTACATGGGGACCAACAATACCATCAAGGAGGCTGTGAGAAAGCAACTCTTGATGCTGAGCATAGAGAAGAGTGAAAATATGATCACCAACATCAACAGGGCAACGAGCTATAACGATGATCTACGAGTGATGGGAGCCGCGGAGTCGGAGCAAGCGATGATTGACTACATCGTTGAAGGACTTCCTAAGGAGTACGAATCCAATGTTGGAATGTTCGCGTATCCAGTGTCATTGCACTTGCTAAGAACCCTGTGTTGCACGGCCTCACCAAGCACATGAGGGTGAAATGGCATTGGACTAGGAGCATGGTGGCCGCGGGTGAAGTTTATTTGCACTACGCGAATAAGACGGGGCAGCCAGCTGGCATGATGACCAAAAGGCTGGTGAAACAGCAGCATTGGAAGTGTTGCAAGCTGGTTGGAATGCCTCTGAACTGAGTGTCAGAACTTTGTAGCTTATACATTTTGTGTAGGCTATAGTGGGGTATCCCATAGGGGGTACAACCCAATTAGGGTTAGTACTTGTACCCACTTTTTTCATAGTTGATCCATTCATGTTTCTTCTCATGGTATCGAGCAGGTTCCCTAACGGGAACGATTCCTAGGGCCCACCGCGACGAACTTTTTTTTTCCTGCCCGGAGCGCGCTCCGCTTAGGCCTGAGTCGCGCCTCGTGTGCCCCTTCTACCGTCGCGCCCTCCCTAGGCCTCCTTTGGCCCCGTCGCGTCGCCCCTAGCGGCCTCCCTCGCGCCGCCCTTAAATGGCCCGTCGCCGCCCTTACTAGGCCCGTCGCCGCTCTTACGCGGCCCGTCGCCGCTCTTACGCGGCCTGTCGCCGCCCTACTCGGCCCGTCGACGCCCTTCGCAGCCCGTCGCCGCCCTTACGCGGCCCGTCGCCGCCCTTGCACCGCCCTTCGCGGCTTCACGTGCCGCCCTTACGACACGCCGCCGACCTCCGCGGCCCCTCGCGCCGCCCTCACCCGCGGCCCTGCCACCTACCTGCGACCCCGCCGCCCTTACCTGCGGCCCCGCTGCCCTTACGTGCGGCCCCGCCACCCTTACCTACGGCCCCGCCACCTTACCTGTAGCCCCGCCGCCCTTAACTGGGGCCCCGCCGCCCTTTACTGCGG